ACTACTTGTACTAATATTCCTACTTCGTGGTTTTTCACTTATCGCGAGTCTTCAGGGTCCCCCACGATAAACAAGGGACTACTATAACACAAATTATTAATGTTACAATGGGATCAAACTAAGCAGTGCACTCTTTATCAGTCAGTCTTAACCTGTGCATGAACTTCAACTCAGTTTTTACTCTTACGTGTTTAGGAAAGGTTTTGGAGCATATCATGCTATGATTTTTTTTTTTCTTCTGAAATTAGCATTATTGTGTAAAAGCTTGAATAAAAAAAGGTTTTGTTGTTTTTATTGCCTGGTAGAGTTTCCAGCTCATCATTTTTACCACTGACCACAGTTGGCCAGAGCTTTGCTGGAAGAGGCTCCCAGTCTGTTTTTGTGGATGGCTGGGATTCTTCTCCTTGCACATCCTTAGCCTCAGGCGACAGTTTCTTCTTCCACAGCACCCAGTCACTCAGGGTTCTCTTTTAGTTCAAGGCTGATGCATTTAATAAATTGGATAACATCCATCAGCTCTGTTACTAATTTTATTAAAGAGCTGCCACGCTAGAGGAAACAACTCTTCAAACTTTTCTGTCTCAAAAGAAACCATTACGATCTTACTGAGACAGTGATGGTTACCTGATAGGTTTATGAGCTGATCGTTTTAAAATCACCATCTTGATAAAAGGAACAGAACAAAAATAAGCTGTTTATTTTGTAAGTCATTGGATTGTTTATTGTTGAAGGTCTGAAAAAAGCTTCACGTCTTTTTTTTAACCTCAGACTGAATCCCTGAGATTAAATCGGACACTTTTTGCCCTTTTCTTTTTAGAGCAGCACTTCAGAAAGCAGTGTCTAGCCTGAGGATCATTGATGAACAGCAGACAGACTCCTGTGTGTCTTCTATAGCTGCTCAGCAACTCGGTGTGACTCTGGACAGCTTCCTTTCCTTGTGCCAGGCTCAGATTCAACAGACACAGGATCTACAGCAGTGTCACAGCAGACAGCTCAGGTGAGCACACAGACTGCATAAAATAGATCAGGGGTGTCAAACTCTAGTTACAAAAGGGGGCCAAAATGAAAACCTTTTTCAAACTAAGGGCCAGTTTCAGAGACTACATTACTGGTAACTCAAGTCAGACACCCAACATATTTTCTTGATCAGAGGTCCCTCAACAAGAGTTTGATTGGTATCATTTGATGTTCTCTGTTGTGCTTTTGACAATATAATCAAAGATTACAGAAAAAAAGTCAAGTGATAAAAAGTATTTTACATCTCGCATATCATCTTGGGGGCCAGATAATGTCAATGAGGGCCACATTTGTTCCCCGGATCTTAAGTTTGACACATGTGACGTAGATGGTCAGAGCCCAGATGTTGCCATCAGCTGATGAATGAGCTCAGGAAATTACAAGCATGAAAGATTTGCATTCTTACATTTCTATGCTGATGACACAGTTGTTTATTGTCGAGCTATAACAGTTGCTAAGGCTTTCCAGCTTTTGCAATCCACATTTGACATCATCCAGTCAGATTTGTTCCACCTCAAACTTGTCTTAAATGCCGATGAAACCAAAGGGATACTTTTTTCAACCAGGAAGTCGGTCCCAGCAGTTCTTCCTCTGATTTTATCCTCAAATTCAAATTCAAATTCAAAAATACTTTATTAATCCCAAAGGGAAATTATTTGTTGTTGTAACTCAAATGGTGTCCCTATTGAGTTTGTTGACTCCTATAAATATTTGGGTATCTTGGTTGACTCGCATCTCTCTCTTTTAAGCTCCATGTGGAAAACCTAGTAAAGAAACTGAAAGTTAAACTGGATTTCTTTTCCAGAAACAGATCCTGTCTAACCCTGAATGCTAGAAAACACCTTGTAACTGTGACTTTCCTTCCCTCCATTGATTACGGTGACATTATTTACATGAACGCTCCTACAAGAACCCTGCAGATGTTGGATGCTGTCTATCATGGTGCACTAAGATTCATAACTGGCTGTGATTATCGTACCCACCACTGCACCCAGTATTCACTGGTTAACTGGACATCATTAACTTCACACAGACTCTCTCACTGGTACATTTTCATCTTTAAATCACTTCTTGGTCTGCTGCCTTCATACATCTCCTCCTACATGTCTCTGTGTGAGTGCAGCTACAGTGTGCGCTCTCAGGACATTATTACCTGCAGTGTTCCCTCAGTGAGGACTGAACTAGACAAAAGGGCCTTCTCCTACTCCGCTCCTGTTTCCTGGAATATGTTGCAAAAAGATCTGAATCTCTCGACCTTGACCTCTCTAAGTGGCTTCAAATATCTGCTAAATTCATGGCAAAAATTAATGCAGACATGTTCCTGTTTTTAGTTTTCTACATTCACCTTATAACCTAGCTGTTTTTGCTACTTTTTGCCATCTTGCTAAGCTATCGAAGGGTCAGCACAAAGAAACGACCTTGCACACACTAACACTAAAAGCCACTTAAAAATTAGTTAACTCGACATGCATCAGTTTGGACTGTAGCAGGAAACTAATGTAACTGAAGGAAACCTACTTACATGAAAACAACAAAGTCCATGCTCAATAATCCTGGTATACAATCCAACATTTTTCAGTCAGGTCATGTGGACATCTACTTACATGAACAGAAAGAACATGCAGCTCCACACAGAAAGGCCCCAGTCAAGTTTTAAACCCAAGATCTTCTTGCAATGAATTGACAGCACTAATGTTCTGTAGTTGCCTTGTGACAGAGAAAAAACTTTTACTTTGATTTAACTAATTAATTTGTCAATCTCAAATAACATCGATTTTACACAAAACTGTCAAACTTAGTAGCAAGAAAAGTATACTTGATTTATTGTATGGTAAACAAGGACTGCTGAATTTAAACAACTGCTAGTTATTATCATGATCTGTTGTTGAACGTGTTGAACCCACGTGCAGGCAGACACAGGAGACTCCGAGGTAAAAGTAAAGCAAGTCTATTTATTTAACACAAACAAAACAAAGGGCGCAGAACTTACATGAATGATAAGATGTAGGAAACGATGGAGGAACAGACATGACGGGCTTTCAAGCACGGACAAAGGAAAAAACCACAGATGCTGAATATATAGGGAGACTAATGACAGGAATGACAAACACCTGGGCTGATTATAATTGGAGACGGGTGAGACAGGAGCTGAACAACAAGGAAGAGAAACACTGGGGAGTGCAGGAAACACAAGGATTAACGAAACGACAGAAAACAGATTCCCACAGTTACAGGGAGTTTTGTGCCATTTTCATATCTCAGTGAGGAATGCTAGCTGTCCTCTTGTTATGTCTCATACACAAGCTTCAGAGAGCCTTAAGACAACTTCCAACTATTTTCTTAAGTCCTTCAGTGTCACTGGCCTCCACACGTGCGCACGCAGGACCACCAGCACTTAAAACGCGGTCAACTTTCTGCTTATCTTTCTGACCTTTCCAAATCACACGGAACAAAAGATGAAACGAGGCGGTGGCTACGAGAACGGGTCACACTGAGGACTCCTATGTCTTGGGGGATAGTGTGGCGCTCTCCTAGCTTCACCTCTCACTGTGTGCCCTCTGCACCCCTGGCCTCTGAACAATGAGCCATTTTGGGCTATTGCTAGAGCCAACATAGACTTTTAACCCCTAGTCTGACCTTGTGTCAGTCTAAAGTTTAGGAAGAGCTCAGGAGAGGAGTGCCACATGTCAGTCCATGAGTGACTTAAGATGAACAACTAGGACATAGATTTGGTGTTTAGCAGGGGTGGAAGTAACGAATTACAAATACTCACATTACTGTAATTAAATAGATTTTTGGGGTACTTGTACTTTTATTAGTATTTCTTTCAAGTGTGTAATTTTACTCATGCTTAAGTACAACTTAGACCATGTAATCTACTTCAATACTTTTAAAATCAGAAGTCGCTGCTGAGTACGGCCGCAATTTAAATTAATATTCAAACTGTTCATCTGCATCTTTGTAGCTAATAAGGCTCTCAGATCATGAATGTGCCAATAACCGATAACGTAAGCAAAGGACAAATCCGTAGAGTAGAGAGTCATTTATGGACTGAAGATTTGGAGAAAATGCCAAAATGGAGACAGAGAACACTGTCAACAGAGACAACGACGAGGTAAAGGCTGAGGACGAGTGCCCGTGGTCATACCTGGAGGAAGTTTTCATGTACAGAAGGTGAAAATGCGACAGAGTCCAGATGCAAACTTTGTTTGATCTCCACGGTGATAGCAGCTTACAAGACTTCAGCATCTAATCTCAAAAAACATTTTGTGGTATATGAGGTTTTACACCTGTATGATATTAGTGTTTTATTGTTTGTATGTGTGGGTTATTAGTTTGGCAAAATCTTAGATATTGTCACTGCCATCAGTTTGTCTGGTACTAAAATAAGACGGAGCTTCTGAGCGTCTGAGAAATGAGCTTTGAATGTAGCTGTTATATACAGGACATCAAACTGAGTGACTTCTACACATTAAACCATCAAGTGGTTAAAAAATAAGTAATTCTGAGTAATTTTTGAAAAGAGTACTTTGTACTTTTACTTAAGTATTTTTACAACACCAGTACATTTACATGTAATTGAGTGCAATGTAAGTAGTGTAACAGTACTTGTACTTGAGTACAAATTTTCAGTACACTTTCCAACTCTGGTGTTTAGTTAGCAATGTTTATTACAGTGTGCACATTTTCATTTATAACAACACTCATATGCACATATAAATAAAATATTTAGGCTGTTTTGTAACTAAACTGACTTTCGGTTTCTAGGATTGGATAATACATAAAGAATGACTCGTGAATCCTAATTTCAATGTCCTTGTCTGCAGAGTGGCAATTTTAAAGTTTAGCTAAAACTAGCAGTAATGTGTGTCAGAAAAGTTACAAGTGTATTTTAGATATTTTGTTCTAAAACTGTCATCAATTTGTAAAAAAAAAAAAAAAAATCTAATTTTTTCAATATTTTAAATAATATATTACCAGTGCGTTTTTAAAGAAACAAACCCACCTTTATCTCTAAAATGATGACAAATTAAAATCTTTCCCACATTGTTTTTAGTATTTTGTCTGTAGACCCAACAACTTAACTTGAATTTTGTGAAGTGATCTGCACATTTTGTCTGTGAATCTTTTCATTAAAGATGTGCCACAACATATGCTCTTCTTGGTCATATTCAGTAAAAATTAACAGCTAATTTTGACTTTGTAGCTTGAATGTGCTGGAAAAAGATTTTGTCAAGACCTAAATTTATCTAGAGTTTCTTAGCCCAGATATTGTAAAGTACCTTCAGAGCAACATGGAACATTGAAAACTTATTAGTAACCAGTTGGGATTTTTGTTTCAATGCGTAAGTTTCCTAAAATCAGTCTGTTTCATGTGACACCCAGTCCCTTCCATGAATGCTATTTGGTGCAATTTCAACTATTTTAGATAATTTCCTGCTCTTTTATAGCATTCTTACGCATGTTTATGGTGACCCTGGAGTGAACCAGCAGGTACAGGGAGGAAGGATCATGGGGTCACAGTCTTCTGTGACCCCTGACTTATCCCTCTCTTGTCCCACTGAGAAAGAAGAGCTAGGTCTTTGTAGAGAAGAAGCTAAACTCCTTCCAGCATTGCAGACAGACTGAGAGTGTCTTTGCCCCCATCAGAGTTGAGGACGGGTGGGGGGAACAGAGTAAAGCATTGCTAATAGATTCATTAAGTTTCCATAAAGGTGGCTTTGTAGCCGGTTTATCCCCCCAATGAAAGAGGCTATATATAAGAGACACACACAAAATAGACAGGCAAGTCTCATTTTAACTGAATCACACACACCTACCTGTTTCTGATCACACACCTTACTTCACAGTACTGATAAAGAATCCAACAAAGTTCACTCAGGTCATCTGGATGGTTTCTTTTTTTGTTGAGACATTTCGTCCTTCATCCGATGGACTTTATCAGTCCGAGGAGCCACAAACAAATGGGAGTCCCACAAGCAGCACACTCAAATAGTGGACCAACCAGTTCACTGGTGATAAGATGGTTTCTGGGGCCCACCCTCTCCCCCGTGGACTCCTCTGAGGCAGCCATAACCAAAGTGGTTCAAAACATCAAAGTTCATGCTCAATAATCCAGGTAGAAAATCCAGCAAAGTTCAGTCATGTCATCTGGACGGTTTCTTTTTTTTTTTTAGATGTTTCATCTTTCATCCAAAGGACTTCATCCACAAACAAACTGAGCAACAAGCACATAGTGGACCAACCAGTTTGCTGGTGGTAAGTTGGTGGGTGTGCTGCTTGTGGGATTCAGTTTGTTTGTGGCTCCTCGGACTGATGAAGTCCTTTGGATGAAGCATGAAACGTCTCAACACAAAAAGAAACCGTCCAGATGACCTGACTGAACTTTGTTGGATTTTCTACCTGGATTATTGAGCATGAACTTTGATGTTTTGAACCACTTTGGTTATGGCTGCCTCAGATGAGTCGATGGGGGAGAGGGTGGGCCCCAGAAACCATCTTATCACCAGTGAACTGGTTGGTCCACTATTTGAGTGTGCTGCTTGTGGGACTCCCATTTGTTTGTGGCTCCTCGGACTGATGAAGTCCTTTGGATGAAGCATGAAACGTCTCAACACAAAAAGAAACCGTCCAGATGACCTGACTGAACTTTGTTGGATTTTCTACCTGGATTATTGAGCATGAACTTTGATATACTGATAAAGAACAAGAATCGAAACTAAAACCATCTGAACACCGTCACAAAGTGCTTCACATAAAATGAATAAAACTTGGATTTTCCCAACATTACATGGATTAAATACAGCAGTGTTGATGAAACACAAGTGGTTGGTTTTCACAAAGAGATTTGAAGATTATTAGAGGCCGAGGTCCAGGTTCACAGTAAAAGCACAACGCCTGGTGTTTACCCCAGTAGTTTTCAGTGTTTCCTCCACAATCTTCCTCATCTCAGCATCATATTTATTTGTTGGCATGAAAACATCCATGAAGTTCAGCAGGTGTTAGCAGCTTCTGCATCAGATTGCAGTTGTCCTCGCTGTGCAATATAAATGTTCCCTTCTGTCACAAACACAGCAGGCACCAAAGTAACAAAAAGAAAGAGAAAATGGGCTGCAGTCCAGGACAGCCATGCTGATGATGTTAGGAATTTCCATGATAATTGTTTTGTGATATACAGTAACAAGTTTGGATTCTGTTTGTCAACCTGTGGATGTGGAGCTCCGTTAAGTTGTACTAAATCATACGACCTTGTATTTTAAATGTAAACAGGATTTTACAGATGTTTTTGATTTTTGTAGATTCAACATTTTATGATAATCAGTGATGGGAGAATTAATTATAGCTTTTCCTGTCGTGCCTGTCTTCTTTATGTAAAGGCATCAGTGCAGCAGAAAACTCCTCTTCCTTAGTTTTTTCTCCACACTCAATTCCCAGAAGTTCTTATAAAGCGGTAAATATTAGGGACGCACGATATTGTATTTTTGGCTGATATCTGATATGTTAAAACTTATTTGGCCGATAATCGATACAGATATTTTTATATAATTTCCTTTGTCAGAACATATTCCTCTTATTTAGACTTATTTGCTACAAAAATGATGTAACAGCTGTAAGAACTGGTGACATATATTCAGTAACAGCCATATGCGTAGCACTTTAACTTATATCAAATTAAAAGTGTTAAATCTTATTTATTAGCATTAGTCACCTGCGATGCTGTCTCACCTGTGGAGGCTTGTTCCAGGTTCCTAGCTGCAGTGTGGGATCCTCTGCACTCCTGTGCATGAAGGACAGACTTTTTAAGATCAAAGTTTTTGTCTATCCATTGTGCCGTAAGACTAATCATGCTAACGGGGCTAACACGACGTCCAAGTGTCTGTGGTAAAACTCACCCAAGTGCTATCGGATATTAGCTTCTCAATAATGTCGGAAATGACGACTTGTAACTCGGGTAAGGTTACGTCGGAAAAATATCAACCAACTGGGGATGATGTAGCGAGGCTCAACGTAGTCTAAAAATCTTTGGAATCCAACATCCTCAACAAAAACAATAACTTCCACACTGCTGGTGTTTTGACTTCTTCCTCTCCGCCGTGATCAGATGAGGTAGGCGTGCATGACGTCATCACCTTGTGCTGCCCCTGCAGGCATCCTTGTCACTGGGTTGTGATACAAAAACAGCGTCTTTTATATCAGTGAGTTATTTTGATGGTATGGCCGAAGTCCGATATTGAACTTTAACGCTAATATCGGCCAATACGATACCATGCCGATAATATTGTGTATCCCTAGTAAATATTTCATGTTAACTGTGCGTTGCAAACATTACTGGTCTTTGATAATCAGATGCGTGTTGCCATTGAACACCTACATGTAGGGTTTCCCTTGAAATGCGTGCAGAAACCATGTGGGCAAACACAAAGCAACGGTATTTGGTTAGCAGCACAGTTTGATTCACACAACTTCCTTTGCAATAACTTTGTGTCTGCGAAAAATTGACACAATCCTGATTTGTGTCTTCAAAAACTGCACGGTCTGTTCTTGAATTTGGGCTTTAGTGTACTTGAGTTCAGTGAGCATAATTTTCTTTTAAATGTAGACCAATAGAAAATATATGATCGTCACAGATTTAATGACTAGGCGGATACACAGAAGGCCCAATTATTTGGCACGTGTATGTCAAATTTATGATTATACGTATGATCAGTAAAAGATTTTTAAGTCAGTACAAATCTTTAGGAAGCCTATGCAGAGGTAGAAGCACGAGTCTTGTGTTTCTAAACCAGTTGAAGGCAGATGAGATGTGTGTGTAGTGATTTATAGCAGTTCAAGTAAAATATTAAAAGCTTGTCAGTGGCAGAAGTACCCAAACTTGTTTGTTTGTTCACAGCAATGTTACTTCTCCCTTGGATGCCATGAAAACACGCTGCCAGCACTTTACTATGGCTCTGCAGTTGGCAGAGAGCCAGAGATTTGCACACAAATACGGTGACACCAGCGTGTCGGATCTATACGGGATGGCAGATGAAGCCGCGTCTGAGAAGACCATGGACATGTACTACAGAAGTTCAGAAACGGCAGCTGACGAACCAAAACTCGAGTCCAGTAACAAACTACCACCTGATATCTTGGGCGGGAGCAACGTCAAATGCAGAAACTGGAGTTTTAAAGATACTCTGCTTGAAGAAAGTCGTCCAAACACATTGGACAGTGTCACAGATGGTCCAAGGGCAGAGAAGACAGTTAGCAACGCTCACTCTGCTTGTGTTCCCTTTCTCTCATCAAAAGAAGAAATAAATTCGTTACGTTTTGACACAAAACTTCTCTCCAGTGATTTCAACTTGGACGTCAAAAGGTAATTCAAGTAATGTTTTAAATCCATTTCATAAAACAGCTAAAATATTCACAACATCAGCTGATGTTATGTATATATTAATGAAAGCCATTGCTGTTTAAATATTTCTATTTGTAGCAACTAAACCTTTGATTAGTTTCTGCTGTGGAGCGTTTGTCATCACTGGAGCCTCCTCCGTGTGATTTGCAGCAGAAGATGTTGCCAATCTTCTTCATTTTAACACCCTGCTTTATCATTTGCATGCTGCTATCTTTGGGAGGGCCGTAGATCTTTTATATGAAGGGTGGCTCTGGACAAGCCTAATCTCCTCAGTCCTGCTTTCCAGATGTCAGAAATAAATTCATGTTTTGAAAGGTAAAGGCACTGTGACACCACACATATCTTTCAGTTTGTGTGTATTTGTCTGTTGGAGCAGCAGAGCAGCAGTCGTGATTCAGCAGACTTGGAGGAAACGCAGACAAAAATGTGGGAACGTTATCGACCCCTTCTTCGCAAAGAAGAGAGGAGAACGTGGAGGAGACGAAGAAAACTCAGAGTCCACGCCTTCCTTTATTAACAGGAGTGTTGTTAGCCAAAACAATGCTGCCACCGTTATACAGGTAAAACGTTTAGAAGTTTATCAAAAGAATAAAGTCCAGCTTTAATCAAGGCTCGGTGACTGTGTGAACATTTAAGAAGCATTCTCTCTATTGTGATCCATTTTTCTTCTGTACGTTTTTCAGCATCTTTCAAGTTCCACAGTTTTTGTGCTATTTCAACAAATCATAAATCAAAACGTTCGGCTCTTTCAGAACAATCCTGCTGTGACTTTTGGTATTGGTGCAACTTTAGCTTTTAGAAATATTTAGCCTTTTCAGCCAGTTTTTTTTTTTTCTCATAGAAATTGAATTGAGCTCATTTTACATCCTTCAAACCTTTTACTGCTCCTTTCACATTTTGTTCTGGTTCAGCTTCTTTCAGCTTCCTTCTGTAAATTTAAACTTTTTTTCCAGCTACGTTCAGCTGTTTTTCCAGCTGTTTTGTGATTGTTTCAGGATCTTTCTGCTAACTACAACATGTGTGTGCTTCTTCTAGGTTATTTCTGTTCCTTTTTGCTTATTTCTGCAAGTTTCAACTTTTTCTGCTATTTCAGCTACTACTTTAGCTGTTTTTATGCTAATTTTAGTTTTTTTCAGCTAATGCTGCTTTTGTTGAGCTCATTTAAATTTATTTCACCCTAAGTAAGCAAAATGTGCTTTCTCAACTTCCTTCTGGTAATTTAAGCATCTTTCTGATTTTAGCTACTTTTCAGCTGATATTCACTAATTTCAGCCTTTTTCAGATAATTTCTACTTTTTTGGGCTTATTTCTGCTTCTTTCAGCCTAATTTGGCAAACATGTTCTTTTTGCTTTCTTATGCTAATTTAAGCTTATTCTACCTTTTCAGCTAGCTTTTTAACTTACATATATTTTAGCTACTGTTTAGCTTTTTTCACATAAATTCAAGTTTTTCTCTGTAATTTCTGCTACTTTCAGCCAAATTAAATTATTTCTGGTAATTTCAATTTATGCTCCTTTCAGCTTATTTCTGCTAGTTTCGGTTATTTCGGCTACTATTTAGCTGTTTTTATGCTATTATTAGCTTTATCATCTAATTCCACATTGTTTCACTCATTTAAACTTTTGTGTTCTTTCTGCTTTCTCCTGCTGATTTACACTTGCTCTACATTTTCAGCTACGTTTCAGCACTTTTTTTTAATTTTTAGCTAATTTCAGCTCTTTTTCAGCAAGTTCTTCTGCAAGAAGCATTCACACTGCTTTTTTGCAGGAAATGCAATTTTTTTATTTAAGACATTGTAACTCTCTTTTCCTCTGAAATTGTGAAAAGTGCCATCCTAGACCGGTTATTTAAAATAATTAGCAAAGATCCAAACACACACACTTAAAGGAACAGTTTGTTTATTTGGAAATGGGGTTCAATGGAAAGGCTAAGAGCAACTGACAGCTTACCTGTTGTTGATAGCTTTTAAACTGCCTTACTTTTGAAGAAATTCAGCTTAATTTTGACTGAAATGACATCTGAGTGAGGCTAGCTCAAAGTGGGTTGCTACCATCTTAAAACAACTTTCTCAAAGCTGTTCATAAAAACACTTTTTATTACTTTTACATTGCTATAAAATTTTCAATTTACTGTGCATAGAGGTTTTTTTTTTTTTTAGCTAGTTACAACTAGCAACAGCAGCAGCTACCTGTAGTACTTCTTATGCAGACATGGGGCACGTTTGGCAGGATTTTAATATTTCTGTTAGAAAAACCATGTGATTTGAAAAGGATGGTGGTGTAAAGGTTTATAGAATAACATTCACATACATTTTTCTGAAACCTTTTAGCTAGGAGTTGTTTTAAGACGGGATTAATCCACTTTGGCTGTGGTCTCGCTTAGACTAGCTGTTAGCTCATCATTCTGGTTAGGATTAAACTGTATTTCTTCAAAACTGGTTCAAAGAGCTCCCTTCTGCACATATGATAGTAATCATTTTCAAACTTTTCGTAGAATTCAAATTGAAAAAAATCTGAAGTATTCCTTTAAATATCTGTAATTCTGTGTTTTTAAGTGAGCCAAAAGAGACCATTCCTAAAGCTGTGGCTGTGTAAAGCCACATCTAAAATGTTCCTAAAGTCACTTTCACAAACTGCGCTACATAAACCATCCATATTGATCCTTGAACAATAATCTATAGGCGTCAAAGATAGCATGGATGTTAAAATCCTCAGCACAGAGGTGTAAACATCTGTTCTGAAAAACGTGCTGCGCACCACCTCTCTGAAATCAGCTCTCCACACAAAAAAGTGTTTAATGAGTCCTTTAGGATCTTCAAATACTCGGTGTGTACGCGAGTGTGCGTGTGTGTGTCTGTGTGTGTGTGTTGGACGGGTATGGAGTAATCAATCAGATTCCAGGGACGTGCGGTAGTAAGAGTTGTAGAATTCGTGTGAGGCTCAACATGAAGTGAAATATGCCCCCCCAGCCCGTTGGGAATTGGAGGATTTAGAGACACGCTGAAGCTCCATTTGTCTCAGAGCAGCCCTGAGTCAAGCAGAGTTCAGACAACAGAATGTTCAGCAATTAAAATAGGGCCTAACATGCTTTATCTCCCTAATGGGATAACTCAGTATTTACGTTTGTGCTGTGATTCATGGATGGTTGTTGACCATTTCTTACTTTGGGTACCTCCAGGCATTTTGGAGGGGCTTCACTTTGAGGAGGAGGCTCTCTTCTGCTTTCGCTGTGGTCACATGCCCTGACTCTGAAGAAGATGACGCCTTTGAGGAGGTGGACGTAGAGGAATTTGTCTTTGGCGAAGTATGCGCTCAAGTTTGTGTTTTCTTTGCTTTCATGGTTCATTTGTTCAGCATCCCACACCCCACTGGAGACACACCTGCACAGTATCTACTTTTCAGTATGTTTAGGTTGTCTTCAGATATTAAAATGGTGTACTGTTCTGTTTCTAATGTTTTTAATAAATCTTATAATTTAGTTTTTTTTTTTAATGTTGGGATTATATTTTGCCTGCTTCTGCTGTCAAAGGCAAAAGATGTGGTAGTAGTTGAGCACTAGCCCAACCACATACACTGAGCACAATATATCGCATAAGACCTCTGCCTACAACTTAGGCATTAACTGTTGGTGTTAACTCCTTTTGTCTGTTAGCAAAATATCTTGTGTACTACAGGGAGAATTTTAATGAAACATTCAGAATGTAATCATTCTAGTCCATTCGCAACTGATTAGTTTTTATAGTCATCCCAATTCAAGATGGCTGTCACTGCTATTTAATATTAACCAACACAAAAATGGCTAGAACTCAGTAAAGTTTATAGCTACTCAACTGATATTTGATGGTCTCTAAGTGCCAAAACACTTTGCAAGATCTCACGATATTACAAGGATCGCTGCATTAGTCCAGTCAGTGCCGCGGTCTTGTAATCCTGCGGTTGCAGGTTTGAGTCCAGGTCACGTCAGGAAGGGCATTCGGCGTAAAACAATTGCCAAATCTTCCGTGTGAGTTCGCTCACTGTGGCGACACCTGAAGAAAGGAGCAGCCAAAAAAGTTTTTTTTTCTCATTATCACATGAGATAAGATAATGATAATTATAATAATTATAATAATTATAAGATAATGAGGTCAAATTAAAAGGTTTGCCCCTAAAAGCTATTACTCCTTCCCTTCTTAGGACGAACTTAGTTTAAACCTTTGCCATGTAATCAGGCAGGTTATGTGCATTTTACGATATGATAGGTTTTAACTGTTTTAAATTAAAGCTGCAGATTACTTTTATTTTGTTATGACTATTTCATCACAAAATAAAAAAGTTTAAATAACAAATAAATACAGTAGTCCCTCGCTACTTTGCGGTTCTTTTTTCACGGACTCACTCCATCGCTGTTTTTCAAAGCAAGATTGGACATGACACACAACTGGCTGATTGATGGATGAGCCGCACAATCGGCATGGATTAAAAAAAAAAATTAAATGAATTATTTTAAATGATTTAGCACCTCCTGCACAGGTGCACAGGTCTGTGTGCAGCCCACAGCTGTGGGAGAAGCTTCCTCCTGCAGCTGATCAGCTGATCTCTGTGCACAGCAGAGAAGTGGGCGTGGCCAAGAGTGCAGAGAGCTGAAATCATGACATTCTGTGCACTTTGAGAGGGTTTAGAGTTTATAGACATTGCTTAGAATATTGCAAGAGTGGGAAGGGTTTAAAACCTCTTTATATATAGTCCAGGGGCCTTTCTGGGTGGATTTTGCATGTTCTGTCCGTGCATGCGTGGGTTTTCTCCCGGTACTCGGGTTTCCTCCCACTGACCAAAAACATGCATGCTAGGCTGATTGGTACCTCTAAATTGTCCCTAGGTGTGAGAGAGAGAGTGCCAGGGACTACTGTGAGCAAATAGAAAGGCCTAGCAATGCTTGCAGGAATGCACATCCCCCGTAAACTTTCAGGACATAGTTTGAAATTAAGATCATCTTACGATGAGAAGGGATGAAGTTATAGCTCTTTTTGAGAAAACTGTTAATGACATTATTTGCTATTTTATATGATGTTGTGCATGTATAGTGTTGACTTCAATGGTAAGGAGAACATTTTAGACAAAGATGTCCAATGTGTAGCACTCAGAATATGTGTAATTGATGGCTCTCAGATACACCAGATTTCTTAATACTTAGCAGTAGCAGCCATCTTGAATGTGACTTACTCCAAAAGATTAACAAAACGGGAAAAAGAAAGTAATCATTAGATGTTTATCTACAACTATATCATTCTGGAGTCAACCTGATTCAAGATGGTCACAACGGCTACAAAACTTTATCAAACATGTACATGTATCGGTATATAATGTAGTTTTACAGATATTGAGCTACAGCGCCATAGTGGCTTAGAGTTCCTTTGTCGTATATCTTAAACCAAATTTTGCAGTGAAAAATGTTCAGAAATTGGCAAGCATGCACGTTTATACACAGAGAAACACACAACATGAAGGAACTCTTTCAGTCTGAACATTTATATGGACACACAGAATATTACAAAATCACAAATGTGTCTACTATTTCATCTTGCTTTTCACCACAAAGAACTAATTTACTGTATTATATTTTACTATGCTACAGTGTAATATGTGGGAGATTTTTTTTTGTTCACAGCAGACAGCGGAGAAACACTGGACGGTGACTGAAGACTCTTCTCTAAGACATTATGTTGCAACAGAGCGACCTTCAGCTGCAGAGGTAAAAGTCCCAGATAATGTTTGATGATAAACCAAACAGCTCAACATCATTACAAAAGTGAGCAGTTTTTTTATGTTTGAGAGTTTGGCAAGAACAATTTACAAACCCATGTCTTGTCAACACATGAATCATTTTCTTGCCTTGTCCCTTTCACTTCTTGCTTGATGCCCTTCAAGCTTCAACCCCTGATCTTCAGATTTGTTCAGTTGAAAAACAAGATTATTTCCTGGAAGGCCGAAGGTTGCTCAGCACCAGCAGATGTCGTTTATCATGCAGGCTGAAATGTCATCTTGTTTCCCCCCTCCTTCAGTTACCTCTTGTTGGATCTTTTTTTTTAAAGCAGGCTCAGCCCTGTACAACTTAGCTAGCTGAGGCCAAAAGATATGCGGCAGCTGCTGGTGTGGCCATCCTCAAAGTGTTGACACTGAGGTGCACATTAAAGGCAGGGATATACAATTCAGCACTTGGATGAAGAGAAAATAGAATCTGGAAAGTAATTAGCAAATAAGGGTGTAGGCAGATGTAGGTGCTTCACTATTCCCACCCAAATTTTATATACTGGTCTAAGAATTCAGAACAGCGACCTTCCAATCACAGACTCACTTCTTCTTCTAACCTCTACGCCACCACTGCCTCCAAATGTATTTGTCCAAAATATTGGCTATTTTATCATGTTCTTGAAAAATTGTATTAAAAATCCAGAAAACGATAAACTCACGTTACACTGGTTAATACTGTATTTTAGCCTTTTGTGACCTCTCATGACAACACCCAGCATGAACTTCAGCCACCACTTGTTTGGAGGCCAAAGCAGGCCTGGACGGCTGGACAACAAGAGGAGTCAGGGCTACAAAGAATTTCAGCACTGACGACCCTCAGGTAGAGAAAGCCACAGCCATCTGCTTATTTTCTCTAACACAGAAGAAATATTAAGTAAAGTTTGTATACAGTAGTAAAATATGTCAACACAGCTCTTAAAATGGTTGCCATGTGTGACACAACAGGTGCCAAATTAGTGAAATATAGATCAGTGTTCATTCCTAGACTCGGGACAAAAGTCTGTTTCACAGGACACAATTGTATTTGACAGAGGATAAAGACAGATGCATTAGTGAAAGCTTTAATCTTCTTTTACCCTCATGCAAACTAAGTTTTGTGTGGAACATACAGTACACCCCACCCCACACAGACACACACACAAATTCCTTTAAGTGGAGTTCAGCTTCTTTTTAGTACATTTGTGTCTGTCCTGCTCTTTCAAGCCAAAACATCGTGTGAAGTAAAACTTTTTGACTCTGAGGACCATAACATACAAAAGACACAAAGTATAAAAATAAGTATATAGTGATTAGTGAATAATTTTACTTACTTCAATATTATGTACATATTATAGTGTTTAAGATCAAAATAATGCTGATTCACACATTCTACCTTCTAAGAACTCAAAAGTACTATACAATTAGAGGTTGTCACATTAATTTCAGCAAAAATTACATAGATGTGGCGGTCTTGAAAATGCAGGATATGTACTGACAGTTTTGATTTGTTTTTGTAAATTGGAAATCGTTTTAAACAATCTTTATGATTTTAGAAGCCACTTTCCTGCTTCAGCCTCAGCTCTCAGTGGTCTTTCTGAAAGATCAGAAAAGATTCAGGAAGAATGGTAATTCCTCATTACGTCCCACATGTTTTGCCTTCATCATGTCTTGATTTTGTGTTTTTGTTTACTTAGAGGGATTTTCAGTTGGATGTTTGTGTCCTTGTTGCCTCCAGGGGCTTTACCAACAGCCACACAGCTCTTCTTATGCTCAAGCGAGCCCAGAAGATGAAGTCGGCTAAACAAAAGCAGAAGAAACACCAAAGTGAGTCTTCTCAGAACTGAATAAAATATGTATTTGAGCTCTGTATTCAGTTCATCTTTTGTTTTCTTTTTGTCTGTGGAATATCTCAAATTTAATTGAATTATGTAAAAAAAAAAAATCTTCCCTCATTAACTAACTTCCTTACATTTTGTCCTCATGTTATGGAAAGGGATATTTAAACATCAGTCTGTTTTTTAAAATAAAAATTAAAAATCTAAGTAGATTTTTGTCTTCTTTCATTCTCATTATTTTTCTTTCAATCGTGCCTCAGTTTCAGTTAACCTTTCCACTCCATGTATGTTAACAAGCCATAACAGACAGCAGAAACAGGGCCTGTTGCCTCCGATCGCGTCTTTTTTTAAAAGGCTGCAGAGAAAACCATGATTGCCAAGAAAACTATTTGACAAGTTGTCCTGTGCTTTCATTCCACCTCAGTGTAGTGGCTGAGTGTAGCTGCTGTGAAAATGACCTCACCGCTGCTCTGCAAGAAACAGTGGTCCTGACACAGCCATCATGCATGTTTTATTTTTTTTTCATTTAAAAGGAGGCTGCTCTTTGATCATAATTGCAGATGCATGACTGCAGTCGCCATACTCCTGTCATCTTGTGCCACCAACACACAGGTCTATGTCAACTGTAACTCCTGATGGCATCTGCCACAGTGGAACCAGAGCTCTGCTTTAATGTTTTCCGAATGTTGGATACTTTTTTAACCTCTTGTTTTAAGCCTGCTTTATCCCTCCTTGAAACTCTTTCTTTCCCTCTTAGATCCCTCTGTCCATGCTACCTTGTTAAGAAACTCCAGTTACCGGCTCAGCCCTGTGGAGGCAAGGAACAGGCTTGCACAACACAGCAGATACTGTTTAAAAGGTATATAATCAGAGCTATGCAACAGTACACAGTTTCTGTCCCTGTAGTAAAGTAAGTCCCTCATTTATCGTGGGAAATCCATACCCTGAAGCCCCGCGATAAGTGAAAAACCAGGAAGTAGGAATAGTAGTACAAGTAGTAAGTGGTAGTTCAAGTTCAAGTATCTTTATTATCTCCGAGGGGCAATTTGTTTCACAGTCAGTAGATGTGTACATGCACATACACACACATACACACACATATACACATATATACATACGCATACATATATACACAAGACATTAAGACATTAAAGTAACAGTATTGAAATTAGTGTTCATTGAGAAACCTGATTGCTATGGGGATGAATGAGTTTTTCAATCTGTTTGTTCTATATCTGGGCTGCAGAAACCTGCGTCCAGATGGAAGCAACCTGAACTCACCATGGAATGGATGATCAGGATCTGCCAGAATCTGCCTGGCCTTATTCACTGACCTCACCTTGTGTAGGTCAGCGAGGTTTCGTAGGTCTATGCCAGCAGTTTTGCTGCACATCCTGACAATCCTCGAGAGTTTGCTCCTGTTCTTACACGTCAAAAGTCCAAACCAACAGATAAAGGTAAAGGTTAAAATAAACTCAATAAAACATTCTCATAAAAGTTGAATCAACATTAAAACCACAAAGCTTCCGATAAAAAATACATCCTTCGGTGGGCCTTTTTACAAGGTGAGTTCACATGGAGGTCAAAGGTCAGTTTATCATCAAGAACAGTTCCTAGGTATTTATATTGTTGCACCATCTCCACAGCTTCACCGTTAATGACCACGGGAGCTGCAATTTCTGAAATCAATGACCATCTCCTTTGTCTTAGAAACATTTAGCTTTAAA